GGAATGTGTAGGAGGTGAGCTGGAAAGTGGGAAACTAGAAAGGCATTTAGGGACAAGGAGTGGCACAGAAGAGGGAGGCATCAGTGGGTATGTATAGGTGGGAAATGGGATTGGTGTGGATGACCAAAGACAAATTGTATATTCAAGGATGCAGCAACTGAACACACCCAAGTCTCAACAAGAGTCGTTGCAAGAGAACAAATATTCATTTCTAAACATCTTGACACATTTAATATATTTTATTGGAGAGGTAAAAATCCTATAAACTAGCTGCAATCTTGTCTTTCTCTTGCCATACATTCCTCTACTGTGCAATACATATATTTTCAAAATTATGTGTGCATGTTGCCAGCGCTGGGACATCTTACAAACTGCCATAAGCGGAAACGACATAAAGTGATGTCTAAAGTTCTGTATGAATGCCAGGAGAGTATCAAGTCCACGTTTCCTGCCTTGGAGCCTGTGAAATTTAAGAGGGCATTTTCTTTTTATTGAACAGTCGCTCAGCTTCTATAATTCTCAGCTGTTTATGTAACCGTAAAGATTACCAAGGACAATAACCCCAGGGGACTAAGCACAGCTACTACCCCACTTTAAAAATTAAGCCATGGAAAGTATGCTAAAATAATATCATAGAGCTGGTCTAAACCCATAAAAAGCAAGGAAATTCCAAGCCAAGGCTGGAAATCCAGACTGACAGTCTCTCTTAACCCCAGGTCTAGTAAAGAGGGTGAGCGAGGCCAGTATTCCCTCACTTTTCTGGGGTGCAAACCAGATTTATAATACTATCTTAACGCAGCTTTTGTGATTTCATTTCCTTTCAAATCTTCTGCAGCCCAACTCGGTTTTGCTTTTAAAATAAATGTTTATGGCTATTCATTTTACAAAATGTTAACAATTTAAGGCCAGATCCCCTGTGCTCAAGTCAGGGAAGATGAGAGCAGCTCCAAGCTTTCCTTCCACTCCCCTAACCTTCAGCTTGAAAACTGCCTTCAGTACATTGCTTTTGCGTTGCTTAGCATTTGCTTTGCTACACTGCACTGCCATTTCTGCCTTCTTGCCTCCAGCCATGCCCTCAGCCCTTGCACGAATGCTGCCGTGGACGGTGTACAGCAAGCGCTGCGTGTGGTTCACCAGGGAACTCCTTGGTACCAGGGGAAGCTGCTCCGACCTGCTCGGGCCTCCTACTCATCTTCTTTTATTCCTGAAGCAGTTCACAGAAGCAGGACCTGATCTATGCTTTCTTGAAATAACACGAGCTTCTGATGGCTCTGAACTATAAGAGGCGATGGCACGTTTAAAGGAAAACATGGGTTTTGCCTATAGGCAAGACTCTGTAAGATATATATATGTAACATCAAAGCCATTGCTTCTTACAGTAAAGCTGGATAGGAGATGTTTTTTCAATTTCAAGATTTTTTTTTTCTTCTGAGAGTTCAAAACTATTATTGACCCTCACTGGAACCAACTAAGACTGTCAAAGCTTTTTGAGCAGAGAAACTCCATGCACTTACCAGAGGAGCCAATAACGTGCAGTGTGAGCATGCACATGGCTTATGACAAAGTGCATGATTCAGTCTGGGACACTGAACTGCAGCTTTTGGAATCCAAGATGACTTCCCTGAGCACCAACTTATTTTACTGTGTTTTTGCAAATGCCTCCATGTCACATCTGGCCAACTCTGTATCAATAATTAAATATACACTGCTACAGTAACTGATGTATGGTTCCCTACCTTCTAGATGAATGCCCCAACTACATGGCTATAGAATCAGTCTCCCTTGCTTTATTTGGCTTGGTGACTGTTTAATTATTTATACAAAATGAAATGTCTTTAGAACCCTGTGAGTATTTAATATTTTTAAAAGTCTTAAAAAGTCTTTAAGAACTGCTGGTCATTACCTTCCCTTGGGCCAGGCACAATTCAAAGCTCTCTTCCCAGTAACATTTAACTTCTTACGAAAGGTGGAGCATCCCCAAAAAGTGACTGTGTGATCTCTGTAGGAACTCTGTGTTCATACTTAAATCGAAAAAACTTAATTGCTCTGCGTAATGTTGTCCTACTTTTATGGCAGTTCAGGATGATATTTAAATTCTGTGAAAAGTTTGTGAGTTCTTAATGTCTTCTCTCCATTTTTGGTACCAAACAGCTGTGTTTTCTGCACCCTGTCAGCTCTGACCTTAGCCTTAGTATGGAAAAAGCAGTTTCAAGTTCCTACTCTGAACAAAGTAAACATTAGCAAGGACTTATAACTGGACGTCTCACCGCCTAGCTATTAAACTCCACAGGGATGAGGGTTTCTCTGTAAGTTTGATCAGAACTTCTGTTCTTACCCAGCCTTCAGTCTATGTCCATTAGAATAGTGGTTTTAACCTGAGGCTATGCACGCTGTAGAAAGCAACTAAGCAAGCAAACCCACCACTACATAGCCAACCATGTCTTTACTAAAAAATGCATAAAGGTCTGCAAACTTAAGGTTCAAAACTAGTTTATACAGATCTTTAAGAATGTAGAGTACAGCTCATCCTTCAATGAAAGTTTGTTTCGTTAAAAGTATATCCACTTTGAATACATGCAAACACAAAGCTTCTTTTATAATTATATGAGACAAATGACAAAAAAAAAAAAAAAAAAAAAAAAATAACCAAAGGACTGGCATGCCTGCAGAGTTTCAAACACAAACAATTATCGTTTTTGGATGCAGAAATTAGGAATACTATGTGGAAAGGCTGCCAGGACCTTATCACCGGGAAATTAACAGTAAAGTCTTACAGCCTTTAATAGGAACGTTGTAGTGCAGATTTTAAGGCAACCTTTCCTTATTAGGAATGCAAACTTATCAAGTTGCAATGGAGAGATAGATTTCAGAAATGTACTTAAGGATCATTCTTTATTAAATTATAGACAGTTATGAGAATAATTTCTAAAGGCCTCAATTTGATTCTTACTTATTTTTTTAAATCACCTTGAAACTTTCCATACAGGAATGTAGTGTAAGAACTACATTTAGACTTGAAAATAATCTTCACCTTGTACTACAATAAATGTTACCTTTCTACTTTTATGATATTTTTGGATGATACTTTAATTTTAGAGACCTTGAGGTTCGTCAGCTCTATGTACAACTGTCTTCTCCTCCCCATCTTGAGCACAAAGCAGTTGTGGTTTCTGCACCCTGTCAGATGTAACCTTAGTGCTAATTTGGGAAAAGCAGTTCTCACATTTAGTGCTGAAAGACCGATAACTGAATCCACAAAGGAATGACACATTTTCAGCGATGAAGTACAGGGGCTGTGGACAATGTCTGTGCTTTCCTACTGCATAAATCTTCCTGACTCAGCTGTCATTGTGCAAATCTACTGCACAAAAGCAGATTTTGCTTGCATGATTGGACTTTATGTCATCATGACTATCATAATAAAAGTGGGTGTTGTGTTATCTTTAACATACTATTACTCTACCAGGAACCAAGATAGATGGATATGTCTGTAACCCTTGTACTTTACTGTCTCCTGAATTAGAGATATCTTGTCTATTATTATAATAAAATAAGCCAATGAGCAATGTTTCTGGGTTACTGGGCAAGCACAGACTGTAGAATTGAAATGTGGTAGACCTGAATCTGTCCTCACAGTAGTCCACATGAATTATGACAAAACTAAATTCAACAGGACAAAAATCAGATTCATAGCACCTGTCATATTAAAATACAGATTCATACAACTCATCATATACACATTTATCCAATACATATATCCAATGCATATGTCATAAATAGAGTTGTATACCCAACCTGCAATAGCACTTTGTGGTTTTAATTATGAATCAGGGATTGGTTTTGTTACGGATTGTATATACAACTAATACGATAACCAGTATGATACTAGAAGTTCCTGACTGTAGCTAATAAGAAACTGTGTTACTAAAACATAGTCTGCGCTTACACATTAAAAATTTATGTGAACAGTTTGCACTAAATTGCAAAACCACATAAGAAAACCTGGACCTCAACACAGACATAAATAATGTGGCTAGGAGTGAAAAATATCTAAGAACAAAATACTCTGTGAATTTAAAAACAGGCGTGCAGATGCAAGCAGCGTGTACAGCAAAAGTAGCTAGTCAACTCTTCAAAAATTAAAATATAAATTAACTCAGAGTAACTACAGTTAGTATTACTGGCTCATTTAAATCAAATGTCAGCTTTTTCAAATGATGAATTCTCATTTCCAAAATGCTCATATCCTTGTATAGCTAAAGCCAAGTGTAAGTCCATTTAAGTTATTGAAATTTTGACTTCAGCAGAACTTGGATAGAGTACTCAATGCATTTTAAAGTATTATGGTACATAAAGCCAAAACCAGATTTTCTCTGAAACTATTCCTCTCCCCTCATACACGCAAACAACCAGCTACAGGCCTGATTAGTAATATCCATAAAATAATGTAAGCTATTGTGCCTTGTTAAACTATTGAATATTTTGAAACTCAATGGTTTGGAATGCTCAGGACCCCTTTCACTTTTTCCAAACTATTGACAACTCCAGTCTTCTCAGGAAGATCTGCTGATTCTCTTTCTGCTGGATTTTGGTGGCCAGTGTCAGATTCCCTTCAATCCAGCCAAAAAATTAAAGCCTGTTCAAGGCACAGTCCTGCCCAGGGCTCTGTAGCTACTTTGTGTTGACGTGTGGCTGATGCCTCCACAAGTCTTGAGCTTCTGTCCAACTTGCACCCTACAGCAATCTGCTCCTGTGGCACGACTGCATTAGCTGTAGTGTCTGTATATGTTTTAAATTTAATCACACTCCACAAATCTCAATGTAATTAAACCAAAAATGCTTCTTTATAAATCACTTCTGATTAGTTTAACTTGTTTAAGACAAAATTCTGCTCCAAATAAACGCGGGGTGTATATGTCACAGATGTTGCTGGAATGAAGCTGTGTGCTAGTCTTTAATGGATAGATGAACGTAACTGGATAAATGTACATTTTACATACCATTTAGCCACCGGGAGTCATGCTGCTCTGTTCTGATTGGATGATGATGCCCCAGAGTTCGGAAAATGGCAAAGTCCCTGCCCATGAAGTCTGCTGCTGTGCCAGAGTACAGTTCTCCATCTGTGGGAGGACATAATTGTAAGCAACATTTCTCAATTTTCCAATCACGGCAAGTAAGAGAAAGCTGTCAGTCCTATGTTTATATTACGCTAATAGGGATAATGAGAAAATTACAAAGCAATAAGCCATATGCAATGTATTGTCATTGAAAATATAAGATTAGACCCACTTTCTCACTACAGAGCTTAACTGTAACGTCTCTCAAATGAGCTGTATCTCCCGACTGCCAGTGCAGACACTTTTTCAAAAATATGTTTGGATTCTTAGGCTGGAACAGTGACAGCTTGTACACCTATCCCTGGCAGGCAGTGGTACACAGCCCCCCCAAATCCCTACCTAACTGTGAAGTTACCCTGTTTTGAACAGGAGTTTGGAGTGGAGACCTCCAGAGTTTCCTCTTAACCTCTTGGTTTTTTGTGACTCTGTGTTGTGAATTAGAGAGTCCGGCTCATTCACTCTTGGTTCAGAAAGTCATCAAGTCCCTTGTATTTTTCTTATAGAAACTGTCTTTTGGTTGACTGTTGGTTTTGTTTCAGGTTTGGTTTTTTGTTGTTTTTTTTCCTTCTTTTTTTTTCTCTGAGCAAGTAAATCCTCTGAAAACAAGATCTTCTACAGGAAGGACAGCACGTGCCTTTTTCCTCCTGCCACCTTTGTAGCTGTGTTACTGGCAAAGGGCAACAGCTAAGGGAGAGAATGAATGAGATCATTCCCTGCTACCTTGACCCCATGCATATCACAGTGAACAAGTGAATTAAAAATTGACCTTTGCTACTTCAGCCCATAAATGGCACATACATAGCCTAGCTGTGGATGAAACTCATAATATTAGAGTCCCAGTGTGCCTCTCCTCAGCCAACTGGAAGTATCATGAAAGAGGCAGAGAGATACACAGTCTGATTCAAAGGACCAGGTCAGGTTAAATACCTGCCAACTGGTAAGAGAATAATAAGTACACAGCAATCAAACCCACAAGAAACAAACAGGGATCAAAGATCAACATGTATCTTTCTGGCATTAATGTAGAGCTTGTCCATTAAATTACCCTGAATTCAAATAGCTAAAAAAGCATTTTTAGGACTGTGTCCTTCTACCCCCATATGTGAAATGAGATTCCCTGCCCCATACTTTTAATATGGAATGAAAAACTATTCTTCCTTCCAACTGCTATTTTCGAGCTACCCATCTTAAATGGGTCTCCTGTGAAAAAGACAAGTTGGAGGATAAAATAACTCTTTCTTTAAGCTAAAGTAATACATTTTGCATAGTCATGATGAACTCTACCATATCCTCATTTTAAAACACACTTTAGGAACAAGTTTATCATTTTCATGGTAATTTCAGATATTTCCATGGTGAGACAACCATGTCCAAGCATGCCTACTGGATATCACTGGCATCTTTCCCCAAAAAATGACACCATGAAACTATTGAGTGAACCTACAGTGACTCTGTACCGTATGGTAGTCGTGAAAGTCAGGAAGGGTGAAAACATGATAGCGGAAAGGCGTGGAATTGAATGAATTCACAGCAAAGACTAGAAGCAAATAGACCAGTCGTGCCCAGCAGGAGGTGTAATCAGAAGTGAAACAGAACAGCATATCATTAATTAACGATTTATCATTCCTCTATGTCATTTTCAACTTTTTTTAAAGGGGAGACAATCACTTAATTATAGTGATTATTATGTACAGGGTATGCAGCTGAGATTTTAGAGAACATAAAACCGTTTTGCTTGTGAAAAGGGCTTTGATGCTATGCTTAACCTTTCTTTAACCTTATCTTCATTTTCTTGTCTTCCAGTCCCTAGTGAGTTCTGATAAATCAATATAAATCAAAGGGGAAAGAAAAAACCAATAAGCCCTATTGTGCTTCCTAGTTAACAGATCTAAAGGTCAATCAAGAATGAAACAAAATTCTATATTTAATACTTCCTTATTAAAATTAAAACAAATATAGCTCAAAAACTCATTAAAATTATGTATTTGCAATATTTAGAATTGTAAGGGGTTTTGGCACCTCAGCTTCTAACAATATATAAACACCACTGAAAGTAATATATCTTCCAGGTTTGACTCAGTCCAACCCAAGATTTTTTCATGCTACTAGGCTCTTGTGGCTGGTACTTTTTCATCAGTGGTGATAAAGTAAAAGTTTTGCCAATAATGGGCTTCAGCATGTTCCAAAGGGGGAAGGGTCTGTAGGAAACTAGCTGATCTTTCTGTGCTTTCTACTACAGCCCCTCCAAGTTTCAGTATACCTAGACCATTTCCTGCAGTTTGAACTGATTTGCCGTAGTCATGCAAAAAGGGAGTTTTGACTTCTCCCAGATAGAAGTACCAAGGAATATCATTTATTTTTGTAAGACTTTAGATAATTTTTGCTAAATTCAGGGTGAGCCTGAAGTTGTCTCAGATGTGCACATCCTTTGAGTTAGTAATTTCAAAAGCTATATGCGGATTTTTGGCTCCTGTCTAGACAGAAGTACATTCATCTTAGTTTCCCTATGCAGACCTTCTTTTGGACTGAAATCTACTCATTGCTGGTCTAGAAAATGATTCTTTTATGTCACTGAGTCTTCACTGTGCTATTTCCATTGTCATAGTTTTAAATGCAGTTTTCATTAACTTTAAGAAAGTGGAAATGAACAGTTTGAAAACTGACAAACATTTCTGAAGGGGAAAGAATGAAGGGGAAAAAAAATAAAAAAGTTGTCATTTTGTATTTCCAGCCCAGCAGCATAAAGCAATTCTGTCCAGAACAAGCTGATGGCCCTCAGATGTCTGCATAGGAAAAGGCTCTATGTTTGGGACATAAACCACTTTATCCTAAAGAAGTAGCATGTTGACATAAGAATGCAAACAGAAATACATATATTGACTTTGCTAAATAAAGAGGCAACGATTAAAGCCCATAGTAATGCTTTTTTTTTTTTTTTTTTTTTGAAGAGGAACCATTTTCCCACATATTGCACATAACCAGCACAAAACTGTGAACATTTCCCCGAGTTCATTAGATACAAAGATGTTAAAAACTAAGCAGTGTACATTGATTTGATGAATTGTTTCTATTCAGCTTTTAAAGAAGACTGCATTCTTAAAAAAAAAAAAATAAAAAAAATTGGAAAGTACAGAAGTGTTAGCTTTCTTTTCGAAAGAAATTGAATTGAATGGATGAGGAATATAGGCAAAAACAGCCTTGAATGTCCTGATTGCTTTCACTGGTAAAAGCATTCCCAAATAAAATCTGCTGTCCTTGGTTAGTAGGTTTATTCACTAAAGTTAAGATTTTCAGACGTACATAGTAGTGGACTGACTTAATTCCTTTTAAAGTCAGCAACTAAATCTTCCCAGAAAGTAGAATAAACTTGAAAACTCTGAACCTCATAGAATTCATAGAGCTTAGCAACCAATTTCTAATAAACAGGTTAGTAAAGGTCTTCCTTGGTGACAAGCCACCGTATTTCAGATCACATTGAACCATATTTGGGAGTATTAAGGCAGCTAAACTGACTTTTTTAAAAAATCAATTATTTATTTATTTATTTATTTTTACATCAGTTATACACAGGAATATAAATAGCTTTGAGGATTCTGGATCATCAGAGCTTTTGAAAATCCCAAAGGGTCATTTCCTGAAGAGCAACTGACTGATAATGGGTCAATGCTGTCTCCGTCTGTGAGGTTTTTTTTTAACTATCTCAATACAATTGCTTTAGACTAATACATTCAGGGATAATTTTCTCCTATGATTACATTCTTTGAAAACCTTGCTGCCTCTCATTTTCCTCCTGCCCTGGAATACGCACTAGTGGTGCCCAGGGACTGCTTAGTCTCTAATTTTCATGCGCTAGCCCGCTCAAATGGAGATTGTTTAGTTAGTAGCACAGCAATGGGAATGGTTGAATAATGTCTTACCTTACTAGGAACTAGTTATATCATGTTCCCAGCTGGAGTTTACTTTAGAGTAGAGTAGCAATAACTACCTTTAATGAACAACTCCTAAAAAAATAATGAAAAATGTTTGCAGGTGGATGGAACGAGGAATGTATACTGGAAAAATATTGAAACAATTTAATAATGATGAACTGTTTGGTTTGGTTTTGTGGGGTTTTTTTGGTTTTGTTTTTGTTTTCCTTAATACTATTGATTTTTTTTAGGAGAGAGAGAAAGCTGAAGATCCTTTCTACACTTGAAGTGTTTCTTTCAGCTGAAATATAAAATAAGAATCCTTTAATAGCATTAATGCCTATTAAACATCTTAAGTTACTTTTTGCAAATTAACCTTGCTGTTTTGCCCAAATTCAAGCTTGGGTAATTGCATTTCACTTACCTAAGATTTACCTTCTAGTTACAGAGTCAAGAACATACTCTTCTTCCACACTTTGCAAAATCTCTGTTTAGTGTTTCTGATGAATAACAGAGGTTATTTTGTCCCTCCTGTACCTAACTATATAAATTACTCTTACTTCTCAGCCTTCTTTTTTCTTCTTGATAGGTACACCATGTTACTAATTATAACACTGCATTTTAATGAGTGCTAGGTAATTGTTTTACACAGTTGCCCTCTTGAACCTAAGATAAACCATGATTGCTTGGGAGGACAAATATTTCAGGCACATGAGGGGCCAGGAGTAGCTCAGCTACCATTCAGCTCATGAGAAGGGAAGAGGCAATCCATCCACCAGTCCATTCTTTTTGGTGTGAGGCATTTGTGGTCAAGAGGCTCCTCTGGCCTTCATAGCCCTATCCACTGCTTCATTCCGGTGCTACCTACTTCAGAGAGCAGTTGGACCAAACCTCTCCAGGCAGTCATTGCTTGGCCAGTTCATTCCCTGTTCCTCACATATTTTGGAGGGAGGAAATTATTTTGCCTTGGGACGCCACTTCACCATAAAATTTATGCTTTTTTGGCAAAGATAAGAGTAAGTAGTTGTGAAACAGTGGTGAATCTGGTGTATGCGTTCTGAAATATCAGGGGAACCTCTGCAGTAAAGGATTGAAGCAAATGCAACGTTATAATCAGTAACACAATATGACTGTGAGGTAGCTATGAAGAGGCAGAGAAGAAGGGGTGTTCATGCTCAGGATGAGGGAATGTTAATTTTAGCTTCACCCTGAGTTTTGTATAAAAGTCACTGAAGTAGAAATTAGTCACTGAGTTCAAATGTTGAATTTGCACCGTTTTCTGTAGTGCTAATACACCCATGGCTCTAACTGAAGCCTGATTCGAAACAAAATATCATGCTTGGTCTACTGTTTATTAGGAGGAAAATACATGGAGTGAAAATTATAGTGATAGAGAGTGGGCTCCAGAAAGCAAAGATGTTTTAAAGACATGAAATCTAAGCCAAGGGAAATAAGATAATCATATTTGTGCTGGACTGAGTGAAAAAAAAAAAAAAAAAAAAAAAGGAATGTGAAAAGCTAGACCCTGTTGACTTTGTGCAGTTGCATACCGGCTATAGCATGTAATACTGGCTTGTCATCATTCTCTTTCTTTATTGTATATTAAAGTAAATAGTCAAGCCATTCCCTTGAGAGTAGCTCTGCCACAAATTCAAGTCGCTCCAGGCACTAATTTATACACCGGCCTTTTACACACACATTTTTTTCCTTTCTGTTTGTACAGGGTACAAGTTGGAGCAAGATGTGGACGTCTTTCTTGTTTTTCCTGTTAAAAAGTGCATGTCCCCAGGGCAGCTCATCACCTGTGATCATTAGGGGCTTCGAAGATCAGGAAATGAGGCACACTTAGGACTAAATTTTTGTTGCTGTCTATATTGAATAGCTTAATTTTTAAATATAGTGTAAATATAATAAGGGTAAATGGTAGGCAAGGCCCTAGACTAGCAATATGGACAAAGTCCTGAACAAACCGATGTATCTGGTTATGTGTCATTTCCCAAAGACTTCTGAGATAAGACAATCTGCAATCTTCTGAAACTATCATTGCCCCTTTGGATTTGAAGTTGTAATAAATTGTTGGAAAGTTACATTTTAAGGATAAAGTGGCTACACCTGGGCAGAGTCATTACGGAGAGAAGAATCTAATTTCTTTCACTCTTAATTTCTGCTCACAAAACATCTTTTTGCCTTTTTTGTGAAGGAGAAAGAAGAACAATGAACCAAATTAATTCAATTAGATAAGTTAAATCAATTAGATAAATTCAGACAATTGGATTAGTTCAATTAGATTAACACAGTCGAGGTACTCTATACTTACATATTCCATGAAATTAAGTGTTACTAATTCAGAAATACCTAATTTATGGAAATCCCTCTGTCCTGGGCAGGAGTTCAATTATATTCACTGTCAGATAGATCTCTTCAGCTGAAACATCATCTTAAGGCCTCGACCTGTGGCCACTTGTATATCTGCAGCTCACATGCGGGTACAGTTGGGTGATAGACTTTCCTTTGCAGTAAATCTGACGTAAGAAATTCCTTTTCCGGGTCTCAATTTGCTCTCAGCTGTGCTGGTGTGACCATCAGTGAGACCAGCCTGTAAACTGGGCAATTAAAATACCTCCAGAGTCACCTAGCTCTGGGGAGGAGAAACACTTTGCAGAGGTATAAAGAGGCTCTTGTGATACTTGATTCTTGGTTTGCACATACCTTGTTTCTCAAGATACCCAGGTGAACTGTATTAAAAATGAAACCAGAATTATTTTAGCCTGGAAATCATAGAATCATAGAATCTTAAGGTTGGAAAAGACCTCTAAGATAAAGTCCAACCAGCGACCTAACACCACCATGTGTACTAAACCATGTCCCAAATAAAATGCATAACCCAAAACCTTATTATAGGTGCTGCAAGGAGAAAAAAAGCAGAAAACTGGCAATTATTTACAGTGAACGCATATCTCATTGAACTTGTATTGTGGCACCTACCTACTAAAAGAGAAGCTGTCAGCAGTTTAGGATCATAAGGGCTTTTGCCTCGGCCATTTTCAAAATGTGAATCTTCCATTCTGAAAATGTTGTCCTGTGAGGTGGAAAAAGAGAAAGAAAAAGCAACGTTATTTGATGAAAGAACACTAAAAATAAATTGAACTAAACAGAAGGCAGTATATATGATTCATATTGGGTTTTGTGGCTTCAGGGAAGTCAAATTACACTAAGTGAGGATCTGGCAAAAGTGACCACCTTCTAATCAGTATTGTGCTGAAGGCTAGTTAAAAGCACAAATACACATGCACAGCTTGTGTCTCATTTATTCTGCTTCAAGTATAATTTGCATAGCTTCATTGAGTTGTTTCTGCTTTCATTGAGAATATGTCTGAGTAATAATGACCGAAGAAGCTGGAATTTGAAAGTTTTGTCTGAAAAAAGACAAAAGTTATTTTTCACTGACTAAACTTTTCTGCAATATCCTGCAAGTACAGATTAGTGCATATTACAATGCTAAACTCTTCCTTCCCTACCTTGAGTATTTAGTGACTCACTGTTTCATGCATCCTCAAATTCAATTTTAACTGCATCAGGAGAGCTTTTTTTTTTTTTGCTTTTTTTTTTTTTTCTCCCCAGTACAATGCAACAAAACTTTTAAAATATACAGGCTGAGGGCAAAGTATATGGGGATATAAACTAAAATTAAAATGAGCCTCAGTCAACACTAAGTCAAATCAAGGTCAGTAAATCTAAAGCAATGGTCTTTTCAGTACATTTAATTACTTTAATTTTAACTGGGGGACCAAATCTGCCAGTCAATTTGAATAGTGTGTTTATCTTACATTTTGCACTGAGTGTGAAACCAGAAGAATAGATGCTTTTTGCTCAGTGGACTTCAACAATCACAGAAGACTTGTGGAGGCCACACTGAAAATTGAAATTTTCATTTCCCACCTGCACTGTGGTTAATTTGGATTGACAATCAATTAAGTCAAGGAGTCCCAAAGCTGGGACAACTCCTACCCCGCCCCAACAGTTTCTCTGGTTACTTAGGCCTTTGCACCCAGCTCTCAGATGCTTATAGCTAAAAATTCTCTATGAGGTAGATGCTGAAGGACTTCCTTTAACCAATATTTGCAGTACCAAGTAGCTTAAGCTGTAATAGCAACCACAGTTTGATACAGTCTCTTTTTTTCTTATTGACTGATCAGAGATCACTCATCTGTTTTATGAAAATAAATAGAAAATCTTCAAAATATGTCTAATATATATATATATATTGACAGTAGAATGTGACTAAGAAGATGTTACAATATTTTTCCCTCATTATTTCATAACTTGATTCTGAAGTCCCTACAGTGCTTACTGCTTCCACAGACTAAGAAATCATCTCTTTCTTATTCTTGTCATCCAAAGACAGAATCATAGAGCTGCTGGCTATAAGGGCTCTCTAGATATTGTTAAGCCCAGGAAGACTTGAAAGAAGACTGTTGTCGACACAGGCTATTGTCAGTTTTGGTTTTGTCTTGCCAAGTTGTGAAAACCTTCAGGAATAGAAAGTATATAACCTTTCTGGGCAACTTCCATTGCCCTCTTAATGAAGCATTTTTTTTCTAAACTGAACCTTCCAAGGAACAACTTGTGACTTTTTGTCCTTAGCACACCATTTGCAAGTATGGCAAAGAATGTGAGTCTTTCCTTTTCATAACTACCCTCCAAGCAGTTATAGGCTGTTCCTAAGCTGCCTGTTCAGCTTCACTTCTCCAGATGAAGTCTCAGGCTAGAACTTCATGAAAGCTTAACTAGCCTGTAAACTCCAGAGTCTGAACATTGTCTTGTGCTCACAAGTAAAAGTCTCGAAATTGCACATAATACTTTCACCCTCAAGGGCAACACTCCAGTGCTCTCTCCAGCTGGAGACTTGGCACTCCACAATGCTGTGAAGGATGCAAAAAAATATCAGCAGCTCAAATTTTCTTCAGCAATTGCTTTGGTAATGTTTTTTTTTTTTCATGTGAAGATCATACAGGCAAACAGCTGATGTCTTTCTCACGAGCAGGGAATTCAAGTATTGGGAAGCAGAGCTCTCCCTGGCACCCTGCCTTCTCCATCTTGCTCGTCCATACTGAATCCAGGCATGGGCCCAGCCTGTGACCAAACATACTTCCAAATGGTAATATTTTAAACCTATTGATTCCATGTTTCTGTGAGTGAGTCACAGGCTACAGTTTTTATTACAGCCTTCTTTAATTACATCATGCAAGCATATATGTGTGTGGTGGTATTACACATTTTCAAAGGAACGTCAGAAGGATGTCACATTTCACTCCATTTACTGGAGAAAAAGGTGAAAGGAAAATGGACCATTAGCAGGATAGTCTATCTGGAGGGGCTTACTGCACTGTAAGATAAAAAGTTTGGACACAACTTTGTGGAGTTTGATCCCAGAATTCAAGCTCAATCTCCTAAGGCATGTTCTTGTAGACGTAGCCTGCCTTATTATGTTTATACAGTCATCCTGTATCTGTAATATTTTGCACAGTATTAAATTTCTTTCTTTCCCTTTGTCTTTCTTTCTATTTCTTAATAGTCCAGACACATTCCTAGCTTCTTTCCAATTTTCTGATTCTGCTCCTTCTAACCAGAAATGAATAAATAATGAAAAAGAAATGTTTTTGAAATTCTGCTGTAGGGTCCATATCTAGATCTTGCACAATAAATAGAAATGGTAAATCGAGGAGAATGCCAGACCTCAACTACAATAATAGAAAATGGCACTAATGCTACAAGCCATTTTTGAAAAATGTTATTATCAATCTACATTTTCTTGGGATTTCTTCTTAGTAGATAATTGCTCAACCTGCACACCAATGGATATTTGATAAGGCTATAAAGTCAGTGGCATGACAGTTAAAGTAGAATATATTCCCAAGATAATCCCATGTGTCATTATAAGACAAATAGGAAACAGATGTGGAAAATGATTTGGTGTAGGAAGGATCTGATTTTTGACTGTATTCTTCTGGTTTATGTCACTGTAACTCTACTGATATTGGTGTGTAGTATACAAGAAAGAGTGGAGAACTAGGTCAGTGTAAGTCAGAGATGATCTACCCTTCTCTTTGTGTTTGTGGAATAAAACATTTGAAATTAGAGGCATGACAGGTAAATCCCACAGTGTTTTCGTATCTCAAAATGCAATGTAGAGACATGTATAATAAGTTTTCAAATGTATGGGCGAGTACACTGTTAAGTGCAAAACAAATGTATCATGGTTAGTCTGAGCCCCCAAGGAGTTTTGATAAACATACTATAGGAAGTCTAACCTGTCACACATAAGGCAACTTACCCAAATAGCTTTTTGGACGCTGAACTCAAACTACCTCTATATACAAACCAACAATAAATACAGGCAACACAGGAATAAGCTTTTTTCTATGTACATCCCCATCCCCATTTTAAAAGCCTAGAAAGCAATATGACTAATGATAGGTACTCGATCATACTAGCCACTGGTCCGTGGCATGTGCACCCAAATTCTGCCTGAGATGCCATAACAGCAAGAGATGAGATGAGAAGTCAATGTCAATATTTGAGGGCAAAATTTCATCTCTTCATTTTTTATAAAAGTTGTGCTTGATTGTTTTCCAGAGAGTTAACCCCTGCATCAGACTGGAAACTCAGGCTATGCTCCTAGTGTTATAAATTGTCCTATCCACCTAAGTTACACCTGAAAAATCTGTGTGCAGGCAGCAGAGAGGAAGGGCAGCTCTTGTGTAATGACTCAGGGCCAAAATCTGTCTGCCTGGAGCTAGCAAAGACCAAGACTCTGCTAAGAGGCTTAAGGGGACTTTGGACTGTGTGAGTCCGGCCTTCTCTAGCACAGTACAGCCAAGAGCTTTTAGCTAGAAAGAATGCACGTTATTTGCTCCTAGAAAACAATCTGATCAGTTCATAATTTTGCTGCCTCTTGGGTTTTACAGTAAATTGAATGCAAAGAATGATACTGCAATGAGTCAGCAAATACCTTAGCCATAAACAGCAGGAAAAATTGTGTATTTACCAAATGCTCACTGTTTCAAAGTTTTGTGAGGGCTATTATATAATCAAACACAGGAATTTATGACAAAGCAAGCTTGTGAGGCTGAAGGAAATTCTCTGCAAAGCCCCCCCCCCCAAAAAAAAAAAAGATATTCAAAGAAAGGCCTTTGTAACTCAACAATGAGTTCAATTTATTGTCCAAACCCCTTCTTTAGTTGCACTGGTGGCCCAAAAGGACATTACGATGTACTATAAAAACCTCTTTAAGGATCTTAGTCGCTAAAAACCTTGCTGTAGCATGCTTTGTTTAGTTGGTACTGGGTTATTAAACTCTAGCTTTATATCTCATTGATGCTTCTCTATAATCCATAATAAAACTACTGAAAATGAGACATTGGTTAGGTCTTGAAATTCCACAAACTCGTAATGGCAACTACTGCCTGTAAGCTGAAGTTATAGTCACACGACTGCTAGTTCATGGCATTACGTGAATCGTTTCACCTAGTAAATGTCTTGCGTGCTGGGAGATTATGATTCTGGCTCCTTAAAACATGTTTTCCTATAGCACATAGCATGATAGATCATAAGACTCAGCCAGAAAGAACTACAGTTCAGTCCTGGAAATGATTGCAAAAATTATTGTGATTCCCATTCTTTAGCCTGATGAGCCATTTCAAGGCTCTAGAGATTCACTTTCAAATGCCTGAAATGTGGCTAAAATAATGCCCCATATCATCATACTGACTGGTGACAAGACATTGCTATTTGGCAAGACTTATTTCGTCTCTTGCTATTGAATAGCTTCAGTCAGCCAGTGAACCAATACAGTATAATGTTCTACATACATATAAACATATATATACCAACTGTATACCCATATATACCTATATATGTATATAAACCCAGTATGATAACTTTTTAAGCCATTTTTTTGTATCTCTGTCAGCAGCTGTCAGAAGTGTCTCAACAAAACAAAGAGAAGAAAGATGAAAGCATACACTAGTTGGTTTTGGTTTAAAAAAAAAAAAAAATCTTTCCCAGTTTAGTACTATT